CTTCTGTCCCATCCTGTTTGGTGGGGGGAGGGGGCTCGTGTGCATCGGGGGGAGGTGAAAGGGGGTGCGCTATGATGCAGTTTACTTGGCATCTCAAAAAACATTTCCTCAAAGGTATTTTGAATCTGAAAAGAGCTTCACTGAGTGAGAAGTAGTGTTAAGAGTGCAGCAGACCGTTTCACTTTCAGTTTCACCCTTGCTTTGTTACTGCCGAGAGCCTGCAGGAGTCATTGGCGGGGGGTGGGGAGGTGTGCTCCGTGATGAGGATGCTCGGCTTGGAGACGCATCCCAGAGGCGTTTCTGGTCCCAAAAGGCGTTTCTGGTCCCCACTTGTCGTTTTGCTCCTCAGCATGGCTGCCTAAAAAACACTGCAGGATTTCTCAGACATGCATGAATGAGTCAAAGCAAGGCTTTGGGCATGTTTTTTATGAGAGTATAACATCATAACATGATATAAAATTCAAAAAAGTTTATTTTACATGATATTGCCCGTTTAAGAATCTGGTCAGATTAAGGATTAGTCATTTTCATCCAGTGCTGGAGACATCCAAGTTGTCTCATTCTGGGTAATCCTCCCCTGCCATCGAAGCCAACTAACCACCAGGTAGTGGTCAGTTGACAGCTCTGCCCCTCTCTTCACCTAACTGTCCAAGATATGCTGCCACAGATCAGATGAAACAACAAAGTCAATCATCGAACTGCTGCCTAGGGTGTCCTGGTGCCAAGAGTAGAAATGGACACCCTTAAGCTYGAACCTGGTGTTCATTATGGACAATCAATGAAGAGTCCAGAAGTGCAATAACAAAATACTGCTTGGGTTTAGATCAGTGGGGCCATTACTCCCAACCACACCCCTCCAGGTCTCACTGTCATTGCCCATATGAGTGTTGAAATCCCCCAGCAGAACAACGGAGTCCCTGAAGAACTGAATTATACAGAGATTTAATTATATAATTGGGCTTGTTTTGGTGATTTTATATACAGTATAAGCAAAATCTATCTATCTATCTATCTGTCTGTCTGTCTGTCTGTCTGTCTGTCTGTCTGTCTGTCTGTCTGTCTGT